ATTCGAAAATAAATGAAAAAAAGATAAAATGCGGTTTTTTTTTGCATTTATTTATTAAACATTATTTCAATGAAGCTCATTCATTCACACGTAAATGATTCATTAGATCGTTCAGTTGAGTTGCCATGTATTTAGGCGATTGTGTTGCAGTTACCACAAGAAATCGTCATAAACATCGCCCTAATTGCAAATTTATACTCTTGTTGGGCATTAAATATTAAAAGCATTTGAAAATTCAATTAAAACTGAAATTTCAAATTTGAGATTTATTTTTAATTACTATAGCTAAAATAAAAATGTTTGCATCAGACAATGGATGACACTAAAAAAATTAAACTTCTACTTGCATTTTATTTGGTAATTAACTTGAGAAAATTTAAATTTTGTGGTATTGCACTGCAGCATCTATAACTAATTGTGAAGTAAATTATTGTGTGCTAGTAGTTAGTTAAGTTAGTTATCTTTCTTATTTTTGTTTTTCTAGATAATCTCTTCAAAACAAAAACAACACATACAAAAGTATAGCTTTCACACTACGAGTTCACGTATGAAATTGCTTTTACATAGTATATCTTATTCTGAAACACGCGTGGCTTGCATTGTTTAGTTTTCTTATTTTATGGATATTTAGTTTTACTATATGACTTTATAACATAAAAGTCACAATTTGACACGCAACTCACGTAATCGTTATGTTACTTCTCATCTAATGCTTTTGTGGCACTTGCGGCTTTTTTGAATTTTAGGCTTTTGACATATTTTTGTTGTTGTTATTTTTACTCCTATCAAAGACACGTATTCGAATTTTTGTATTTCTATTTACGTTTGAGCATTAGTTTCACAATATCAAGAAGTTTCGAATTAAACTTTAATTTTGTAATTCAATAAACCAGAAAATAGTTTAACAAAACATGTGTTCTCTCTTTTATATTTATTTACTACATATTTCTTTTAATATCATATGTAATTGATATATAAGTTAAGTTCCAAACGACATTAAAGCAATTAAGTTACATTAGAAAAATGTTTTTATGTCATGAATACTCAATAAGAAACACACTCTGATAATAAACATTCTTAGCGGATTTGTGAAATATTGTTTCAAAGTTATTTTATATATAAATGTATTAACCTTTTTTTTTTTAAACAAATATTTATATATTTATTTTGCTTAAAACAATACATTAAAAATACTAAAAATATTTCTTGCTTTCTTACTATTAACTTTGATACAGTCTTAATAGAGTTTTCTTTAGCTTAAATCCAATTTATAATAATTAATTTTAAATCAAATGGAATCTCTTAAACAATTACCCAGACCGCAAATTTAAACAAAAATTCGAGCTACGCTTGAGTTTAATGTACTACTTATATAATTATATATATAGAATATTTATAAATGATTAAGTAGTTGATATTTTAAATTATGATATTTATAATAATATACAAATATTCTATTTATATAAATATTACAATTAAATATGTAGTTATATATATAGGAAAGAATAAATTATTAAAATATATATTTAAAAATTAAATATATTTTTACAAAAAAAATAATATTTAATTAAAAATAAATAATTTAAAAATTTAAATTAATTATACATTTTATATTATACCAATGTTCAACGGATACTATACTAGGTTAATTCAATAAATATCTATATTAATATAAATATTTAATTAATAAATAAATACCTATTAATCTAGATTTTAAAATCTAGAAATCGGTAACTATTTATAAATTTTATAAATTAAATTTTATTTAATATTCCATTCGAAAATATTGCCAAATATATATATAACTTATGTTGATGTAGGTGTTTTGAAATCTTATAAGTTGTGCTTCATTTTTTTTTAACGGTATGTTGATTAAGTTGTAAGTAATAATAACTATAATTGTTACCAATTGAAAAACCCCATCCACCATGTATAAATTTTAAATCTAAATTATTTCCAATTTAAGTAAATATATAGTATCATTTAAGTGTCACTTATCAATTAATTTCTCACAGTATATATTATGAGCAAGTTTATTTTAGACATTGTTATCGTTTAAATACTTTTTTAAACGTTATCATTAATTAGGTGTTTCATTATTTCTTGACAACCCTTACATTAATTTATTATGAGTGGAAATTATTAAGTGTTATTAGCTTAATAGGGCATTGACATACTTTGTTTACGCATTCATAATTCTACTTATCGTTGGATTTGTATACACGCTGATGATGAACTTTCGATTTAGTTACTTTCACTTCGCCGCTAGATACATATGTTAATCGGTCAAAATAAGAGCATACACAGAACTTAAAACTATGTATGTAGTATTTCTGAAGGTCAGCTATCAGCTCCAAATTCATTTTTGAGGTGACTGTATCATATAACTGCATACTGCATTTTGTGCTATTCTTGTTGCTGCTGCTGAATCTGCTTATACGTGCATTGCTTGCTTACTTACTCAATTTGACCTCTTAAATAATTGCACAGCTTGCCGTTACCACTAGAGCATTGCACTGAGCACTGCATTATACCAGTTTTATATATTCTAAACAAAACAGCCTTAAAACCTAATTTTAGTTGCACTTTTGCTATATACATTGGCACTGTTGTACGCGTATTTTCTCATGCATATGCACGTGTGTACGTGCGCCGCAACGTTTGGAGGCAACTGCAGTAGGCGCATATTGGTATCTTTAACACGTAGTAGCGTAGTTGCTTTCGTTGTTATGGTATACTTATTGGTTTAGTGTACTCGTAATAGTAAAATTTTGCTTTATGACCATATGACTGTTGACCGACCTGCTCAAGTTACAACTACTTGCTGCAAAAGCAAGCGCTATACCATTGCGTTGCA